GGGAGAAATGCAACCTTTGTACTGAAGCACAGCAGATTCAATTTGAATTTCTCAGCCTAGTCAGGTTTTGTATGGAATTGAAAATGGTCTATGACATCTTTTCAGTTAACACAAAGATTGTTTAAATTGGAGCAGTTTATATATTTTGTATTGTTTAACTGAAGCAGTGTTTGAGACTCTGTATCTTATGTAATATTATACCCTTTTATTTTTTTATTTCATTTAAAAGACATAAACATTTGCACACACGTCTGTCTCTTCAATGCAAATAGTTCAATTCATCATGATATTACCACATAGAGATAAGGTGATATATCTGCTATAAATGAAAATTCTCCACATGGAATTTCTAATTATACTAAAATCTATTGTATAAAATCTTACAACAATGAAGTGAAGGCAGTGTTTTTTGCATTGTGGTTTTGTAGTTCTCATATGAACAGTTAAGCAGGAAGTTAATTTGTTTCTTTAACGTGTTGATTTTTATATGTAGTGTTTACATGTTTTCTTGGCTGTGGTAGTGTCAGCATGAATTAAAGCAATTTGCATCGAAGAACTTCTGTTCACAGCTGTATTCAGCATTTCTTTTTTTTTAATTGTATCTGTGACAATGATAGGCATGCTTTTTAAATGAGTTACGAACAAAAAATGTTTATTCATATCTGTAAGAGCTTAATTGTGAAAAGACACCATTCATTGTAATAAATGAATACTATAAGTAGACTTTTTGTGTCACTTTTGTCTCACTTCTTTCTTAAAGATGCAGACATTTGTAACACTAGTATATAGTATGGTGCGGTGAAATTTCACAAGAAAACCAGTTCAGCTTCAGATCACTATAATCGAAACTGTTTAGACTTCAATAATCTGAAAATATTACATGTGCAGGTTTAAGCATTTAGTATGTGTAGTATAATTTTAATGTTTTGTAGCTTTAACAAGATTTGGGGAATTTAAATCCAACAAAATTGATTTTTCATCAATAATATGGAAACATAAAATTCCACTTTTGTTTTAAGAAGGAAGTTAAAATATTAGTCTTAAACTTTAGCAGCAAAAATGCTATGAGATAATTCCGTTTGTTTCCCATATCAGACTAACTGCAGCATCCTTTCATTTTGTTTTTTTCTTGTCATTAGCAACATGGCTGGTGCCTAGTATGTAGTTAGCATGGTTCAGCTCTGACCAGTCTGCTTATTTGTAAGTTGAACTGACTGTTTAAAAGAAAATCTGTCCTTTAAATGGCAAGTTTTGTTCAGAAATTAAAAATTTTCCAAAGCTTGTTCCTGAATTTTCACCAAGCCTAATCTCAAGAATCCCGGGAGCTCTGTTCTTTCGCCTTGGCTAAATTTCGCCCTGGCTTCTTCTTGAAATAACTTATCAAATTCCACTTTTGGTCCTATGTTTCCCTTGATCATCAAGTTTTTGCTTAAGACTTACATTTTCAGTACTGCTTGAGGATTTTGAAGACAAGAATCACATGAACCCTCTATTATCTCCTGGGTGCAGTCTGTGTTGTGGTGAGTTTTATGTTTTTAAAAGAGCAGTGAGATGAATCCACTAAATTACTACAGACACTGCACAAAAAACAACTAGATATTAGGTGAGCATAGGTGTTTTACTGTATGTATGGCAAAGTGTTACAAACCTATTAAATGTATTTTGTAAATATCTCACATAATGTTGTATAAAACCATAGGTTGAGGCTTGTTGAATAGCAGTGTCCTTAAGTGCCAAGCACCATCATTACCTTTTTCTTTTCATCTCGAGTGTTGGCAATCTCTATATTGTGACAGTCTCTTAAGCGTGATGGAAGCAAGTAAAGTTCATTGAGCAAAGCCTGTGGACTTTTCATCTATCAGATTTGAGCATAGGAGGAATTTAAAATGAAAGCATCTTGTGACATCTTTATATGCCAGTTCTGCTTTACTGTCCCTGCAAACAGACTGAGTGGCCATTTTTGAACTATTTGAAAATTCCATGGGTGGCACAATTTGCGCAGTAGTAAGCATTGCTGCCTCACTGTGCTGGGGCCCTGGGATCAATTCCAGGTGTTCTATCTGCATGGAGTTTGCATGTACATCTCGTGTTCATGTGGGTTTCCTCCCACAGTCCGTTGTCATACTGGTATGTTGAATGGCTTCCAGGGAAATAAATTGGCCCTGGTGTGAGTGTGTGTGTCCTGCGATGAGTCCAGAGTGCTTTGTTCCAGTTGCATGCCAGTATATGTTCCCACTTGATCCTGTATTGGATAAAGCAATTAGAAAATGGACAGATTAACATTTAGTGCCATCATAGGATGAATTGTGTTTGAAGTTTAAACAGGGATTCCTTTTCACCCATCAATTGTATTTCCTAGGCCCTGGAGAATATATGAATTAATCAACAGAGATAGTGCCTTTTAAACAAGCCCCTGCATATGACGCGCTGTGCAGATCCAGAATTTGAATTGTTTGACTAACTCAAAGCTGGCAACATTTCTAGCGGAGTTGTGTTTCTGAAGTTGCTAGAAAGGTCAATATAATATGATTAACGGGTGACATGTCGAGATCCACATGTTTCGCTTTTTATATCTTGTAGTCCTTAGTGATAGACCAGCTTCAGAAAACACATAGGTTCTTAAACAATGGAAGAGAGAAGCAAAAATACAATGGTAAGTGTTTGCCAGTTCTCTTTTGGTACATATTCACTTTTTTCTAAAAGCAGTCTTTTTTTAAACAAAGACAGTGATTTCCTTATTCCAGACTCTTATCAAGTTGGTCATAGCTTATTAATAGCTAGGAGGCCAAGCTTTGTATTATGGACTTCTCCTAGTAAGCAAAACATAGTTTTGTGAGTTAATGGTGCTGTGTGGTTTGTGCTGTTTTAAAGAGAAGTGGAGATTTATTTGACAAACTGTTGTCCTGTACTGTGAAGAGATAAACCCATTCCTCTGGGGAATTCAATGTAAAAGAAACAGCTAATGCGTTGCTTTAAATTATGTACAGATGTGTTTTGCAATCAGAACACCTAGAACTGCAGCACTTCATCTTATCAGATTTTTGTTGTCCATGATCCCACTTCGATCTGTTTCTTTGCAATAAGTGAGAAATAGAAGATTATTTGTTTTGTTTCTTTCACTAGCTTGGTCGAAGTGCTTCTTTTCAGTGATGTGTAGATCCCTGTCTGTTCCAGTCCACTGTAAATCATGTACTTATGGTGCATGTGAGAATTGGTGTTGGAGTCCCACAAACATTGGTGTCCAGTCTGGACGCACACTTGTTTTTTCTCATTTTTTAAAAATGTCTTAAGGTTGTTAGTGGCTATGCGTACAGCACTGATATTACAGAAACATGTTGCTTCTCTAAATGCTGGCACATATAAAGTCAGATTTGGTCCACTGTGCCATAGTGCACTTGACTGAACCAGTTATTTGCATATTTAGTTTTTGACAATCCCTTAATTCACCTGTGGTTATGACATCTGAACCTAGAGCAACAGGCCTGCCCAAAGAAGTAAAAGATGTTTCCACCTACCTGGGTTGTTCTGTCCTGATTTCCTATTACTGGCTTTCTGTTGCTTGTCAGTGCGATTCATCCTAGCCACAGTTTGAACTCAGATATGCTTTAATGACAATGGGTAGCAAGACTGGCCCATGCAGAAAAGCCTGGCTCTGACCTTGACCTGTTTTAGAAAGTGGGTGTAACAACCCTGAGCATTATGGAATAACAATGTATTAAACTCCTGTTGTACATAGTTCTGCTGCAATGTATGTGTGACCTACTGGTTGTAGTGTGTAGAATGATATTTTTAATACAAAAGAGCTTTTAGACTGCAGGAGGACCAGTTAACAAGGATTTTGGGGCATGACTTCTGAGTAGATTTATTTATAAGAGTAAATAATCCAAAAATGAAACACTTGATACAGGCATGGGTGAATCAGTAGTGAACATAAAATCCACAGTGTAGGAACACCAACTTTGAATTTAATTCAGGACTGAAGACATCAGAGGATTACTGCACTAGTAGATTTTAGTAATGGAAGAATACAGTAATATGGGGAAGCACTTTCCTGTGCACTTCTCAAAGGTTTTTATCCGTTTAATGTTAAAATGTTATGTTTAAAGTTAGGTTCAGCCTTTTTATCTGTTGATGATGGAAGGTAAATGAAACCTCTCAGAAGGACAAATGAACTATACGGAACAAAACCTGTCATAATTTTGTATCGGATATGTTGCTAAATGAGGATACAGTACGGTAGAATTAAAAGCCCATCACTGTGCTTTGAAAACTCTTGTTGCTTTTCTTATGGTATTTTCTAAGAAACCTTGAGTTCCTTTTGTAATTTGTATCATTTGAAAATGAATGGTTAGGTTTGAAACGACAACTGCTGACTAAGAAGCCCCCGTTTGTTTAGATTTATTTCTATGAGCTATGTTTTACTCAGTCAAATGTTTATTAGCTTAATCTATTTTCTGGGTCAAAATGCTTATGGTCAAAATATGGTTTTCTTTACCCCTCGTTATGTAAAATGACCTGCTTTTGCATTTAAATGTGCATTAAAATTACAGATTCTGATATGTGGAATTTTATTTCTGTATGTGTGTGAATCTGTATCTGAGCAATATAGAAATATAGGTTGTATATAATATATAGGCTGAAAGGGCTGTCAATGGTGACTTAGGATGCTGATTAACCTTAATTGTTATTTTATTTCTGGGTTATCAAATCAGTATAAGGAGCATTGTTCCCTTTGTTCAGTCTTCATCAGCCATAAAACCTTAAAGAAACAGTTACTGATGTTCATTCATCAGATGATTAGCTCAAATGTCCAGTTTTGTGAAACTATTTATAAGCTGTGCACCTCTCTACATGAATGTGTAACCAGTACATAATGAAATAAGATTTCTGTATAACTCTTAATTAGATTGGGTGGCTTCTGGAGAATCTGAACTGGCAGGCTGTTTTTGTTTTTCAAACACAACATTACAGACTTTTTTCTTTTTCCTCATTCATGAAAGAATCGCAAAGAAAATGCTATTGGCCCAAATTAAAGCCAATTACTCATCGGGAGACGACGGCTCTTCGGATGAGGAGGAATCGGAGAAAGATGGCAAGAAAACAACAGAGACCGTGGAAGAAAAGGAGGAGAATGGTAAGTTGTTGTTTCTGGGACGCAGATAGAGCAAAATGGTGTAACACTTACTCTAAGACAAATAAAAATCTCTTTGGGAATTGTGTTATAGCGGTTCAAGTCTCCCCCCCCCTCCCTTTTGAATATATGCCTTTGAACAACATATGAGAATTGTACTGTTCTCATAGCAGCACAGGGGCGATTGAATCTATTGTACACAGTACATCCTGAGTTGGCACTGTTGGCAGCCAGTTCATTATGGTATACTGTAGGCCTGTAGGTCATACAGCAGAGACAACTTAGGAACAGCAGACTTATCACAGATATGCCTGATATCAGTTAACAGATATCACTGAACCAGGGATTCTGTAGTGTGTAGCTGTGCTATTCCAAACTGAGGAAGATAGGCTAAAGCCCAGGTTCACACCAGCATTCTCTGGAACCGGGATCTACAGTACTTGACAATTTATTCCACATGAATGCTTGTTTTCCACAGGAACATCTTGGAGTTCTAATTTGCCTCTCTTCTGTATTTGTTTTGCTTTAAAGCCTCTTCCAGAATTTGTACTGGAATATGCAATTTGTTAGGTAAATGACACGCCCAGGAAACCTGGAACACTTCAAACTTATCAGCTCTGAAAAAGTTTTGGGATTTGGAGAAAACAATTTTCTGTCTTGGGAAAGACCGTGGCAAACTAAAGTGTACAGTTGTTTTGTTTTTGTTTTTGTAGACGATACAATCAATTGTCTATACATTAAATAAATAGGCCTTTTAAAACAAACTTCTCCAGAATCACAAAATGCGCATTCTAACCAGACAAATTCCCCCCCAAAATTTTTAGTTAACTATGAAAAGTAAAAATTAAAAAGACTTTCAAATTACAGCCAAAACTGTCTCTACTCGGATATCCACAATCACTTAAGTGGGTGAAACAAGTTCTATTTTGCTCCAAAGAAGGAAGACCGATGAAATGAGCTGAATTAAAACATTTTGTGTGTCAGACATTAGTTTACATGGTGAAGTTCACATCCTCATCAAAAGTGCCTTTCCTGTTACTTACAACATATTGGATATGAATCGGTATTCTTCAAAGTTTGTCAAACTTTGTCACTCAATATAAAAATCTTGAAATTCCCTTGAAGTTTGTTGCAAAGGATTTATTTTTATCTTCCTTGTCTTGGAAATTGTAACATAGGCGTTTCAGAAGTATTACAAAGACAAAAGTCAATCTCTCTGACTGTTACAGGTTGTCTTGGAACATTGCAAGACACTAGCCTACACAAAAGGAACCCTCCCATTTGCAGTACTGAAGTAGCCTGTGTTAATTTTTAGTTCATGTTCTGTTTTGATCTTGTGTTGTGCTCTTAAATTCCAAAGTACAGACAGAAGAAGACGGGAATTTTTATACCAGCATGTCTTTGAGTGTTATTTTATTTTGTCTGCAGAAGACGAGGCTTCTGAGTCAGGCTCGGAGTCGGACTTCGAGATGGCCAAAAAGACACGTTACCGCCATCGTCTGCTCCGGCACAAACTGTCCTTGAGCGAAGGAGAATCTGAGGAGGAGAAGTCCACCAAGGAGAAAAAGGATGTGAAGAGGAAAGCAAGAAGGAAAGGTGAGTGAGTTTGGTGTTCCTTGCAGACTCCTCACATTTCTTTTTTCAAATTAGTCAATCCCATTCACATATGATGGGCTTTTCTGTTTGATTTGGGAAGAAGGGACTCTTAAAGAAGTGTTTCTATAAAATAAAAAAATATAAAAGCAGTGGCATCTGTACTGTCAAGAAGTCAGGAAATAGAAGTGAAGTTTGTGAAGATATTTTTTTATGGTCTTTTCACAAAGCATACCATTTTTCTTTAACCTGATATTTATCATAATTGATATTTTGCCATTAATTTTCAAGTAAAAGCTTTTAGAATGTCTGCTTGAAATCCAATTAAATATAGCTCTTTAATTGTTCCAAATTAAAGAACAAATACAGTTGGAAATGTTATTTTGACCTCAGGACCACAATCTTTATCACCGAATATTCACCATTGTAAGCAGTCGATGAAGCAACTAGTTTATTGGTATGCAAATAGGAACAGCAGGAGGTATTTAGTACTAATTTTCAAAGTATTTATGCAAGCGGTGCAACTACGCTAGCTAATCAAAATCGCTAATGATCTGATTCAATAAAACAAGTTGCTGTTAATTCCTACACTTCTTCAGAGTGGCACGGAATCTCTACTTGTTTCTTCACGACTCACACCTTTCAACTTTTTCCTCTAATGATGGCTTGTTTGTAACTAGTTTAACAGTTTCGCACAAAACAGAGAAGGAAGACTGCTTGACAGATGTTTTGACAAAGCACAAGCTCCCCTGTAACACTGCAGAGCACAATTCTTTTTTGACCTTTCCTCCATGGATTGCCTGTTAAAATGCCTGTTCTGGTTTGGAGGCAACTGAGGCTTCTTCAGGTAAACCAGGTATTCTTTAAACCAACAGGGAGCTGTTTGGCAGGAAACTTACATTTCAGTGTCCTTACCATTTGTGTGAAGTCCTGCGTGCATGTGATGTAGATGTCTTGAGTGGCACTGTAGCTATAGGGAAACCAAATCTGGTTATGCTGGCGATTGGCTGTCTTTGTGTCTCTGTGTTGTGTAATTGTCCAGTAGCGCACTCATGGTGTGGAAATACAAGCTTTTGACCTTTATCATGTCTTTGGCATCTGGAAAGGTGGCCATGTTTATTTAGCATGTGATCCAACCTTTTTGTTCAGAGACGACGTTTCCAAGCATCTGTACTTTGTGGGTGAGAAGTATATTGTCAGGAGCCTTCCTGGATTAGTTCTTTCTAAACTATGACTTTTGTATTTTTCTCATTTTGCTTGTCTGTCAGATGGGGTTAATACAGAGCTATTGCATTGCAAGTGATGTTCACCTGTCTGAATCTTTAAATTTTAGATTTAATTGATTTATATTTTATATTTTTTAATTTATATTATAAATTTAATTAATTTAAAGAATCCATTATTTGCCTTATGGACCTCACTATGGATCATTGCATTTTTACACAAGTCTATTGCTTATGTGAGGTTTATGCTCAGAGTACTCACAGATTTCCAAATGTGATGATAAACCATTTCTGTTAAAGTCCATGTTTATACACGCATTTATGTATCTAGTGGGACACATTATTTAATAATATTTCTATTATCCGATAGAAATCTGCTTCTTTTCATGTTGAGAGCTTATCATCTACTCTTTAATTCTTTTTCTGGACTTGGGTTCAGGAAATAATCTCACACAAGTTGTAAAATACAGTACAATAAAAGCTAAACCGATTGTCTCCCTCTTGATTGTTGTGTACACTAATATACACTACAATCTGTAGTATATGTAAAATGTTATTACAGTTATGATTGACATTTTCTATGAAAGTCAGTGCATACCAGCCTGAAAAGTGAACTAGTCAGGAGAATGTTTTATATATACCTTGACAGCCTCCCAAACATAATCCCTCAAAAGGCATAAATAACTCAGGTGAGTACTATGATTTATGGAAATGGAGTATTTACATTTGCAGATAGACAGGTGCACTTTGAAAGGCCTTGTTTTGTTCCTTCCATTTTGCCAAACTTTTTTAGTCATTGTTAATGTGACTTTCATGTTCGGAATCGCAGCATTGACAGTTTTATGATTTTGTGCAGTCCTTCCACGGGTTGAAGGAAAAACACACCATGATCCATTCTTTCTTTTGGACTTGTGCATTCATTTGCTGAATTGTTGTTTTTGCGGTAAGCAGTAACCTCTTTGGTTGATTCTGTCCTTTGACAGTGAGCAGTGACGATTCTGCCGACTCTGATTTTGAAGAGTCTGGAGTGAGTGAGGATATCAGTGACTCTGAGGGAGATGATCATCGCCCTAGAACCAGGTAAGATTGTTTAGAATTTGTAGTGTAGAGGGATTAATAATTCAGAAGGTGTTTCATGCAGTTTACCATTCTGTCAGAAAAGCTTTGGTATATCCAGAGACTATGCTTATAACTGAAATTTTCCTTACTTCCAGTGAATTTGAACTTTATTGCCATATGTAACCGATACATGTATTGGTACAATGGAATTCTTACTTAGAGAAAGTCTCTCGATTGTTAAAACAAGTGTAAAACCACAAAGTGCAGACAGCGCATCAAGACAATGTACAAACAAACAGTAGTCAATGTATAAGCAAACAAGTAAACAGTAAATAGTTTGAATGTACTTCTGTATTTATTTTATATACTTTTAATACTTTCTGTATTTACTGTAATGTACTTCTGTATGTCTTTGGAAATGAGTTGTTAATGCTACTGATCCACTACAAAGTCAGAGGATTTCTTTTTTTTTTGGTAAACCTGATAAACTTTGGTAAACTTGCTTCTGGTATCTATGACCTTGTGACATTTTTATGCATGATTTAAATGCAGAAATCCTCAAAGTACTGTTAGAAGATATAAGACTAACGTCATGATCTGAAATCTCATTTTATATATTTTTTCTGCCTCTAGATGTCAGTAGTGTCTAATATTTTGCAGTTAACATTTATAAGTTTCATTGTAGTACCAGCAAAGATATAATTAACAAAATGTACTATTTTCAGATAAGGCAAGGCAGGTGGGTTAAATTTATTTTTATTCAATTTAAAATGAGAATTGTAATGACCATTTCAGTTGTCTCTGATGTGGTATTATGTTCAAGATAATTCATGAAGCGTATCCACTTCTACTCTTCTGTGACATGTTTTATAGAAATTAAAATCTAGCCCAAAATACCTCATATATTGTGTTAAATTAAACACTGAACAAATGGAATCAGTTAATTTAATGGTTATTTCAGTTAATTGTGAGCTCCTGAATGAAGGTAGAAGCCTTTTGAAAAACCTTTATTTAAAATTAGTATCTGATTATTCTGCTTGATGATGATAATTTTAGATTGTTGCCTTCGGTCATTCTTATAGCTTCAAAAGCTGACATAGTTTCAGTAGTTGACACATTTTCATATTGTCTGTAAATGAAAATGAGAATTGAGAAGTAGTTTGTAGAGCTCCTTTGTTAATCTTGTTACTGAGATGAATTTGACAGTAAAAGGGATCTTGTTGCTTGGGTGCATACAGGATTGAGATTGTGTTTTTTGTCCCAGAAAGTGGGAATTGTTTGAGGTTCAAAATATGTGAGGCCACCAAACAAAGATGTGCTCAAATAAGCATATGTGCAGAAGTCTTTCTCAGTTTTTGCTTCAAAAACATGTCATCTTGTACCACCCCAGATCTTCAAAGAAAGCCGGGTCTGAAGAGAATCAACGAAGCTACCAGCAGAAGAAAAAGCGACGACGCATTAAAGTACAGGAGGATTCTTCCAGCGAAGAAAAGGTGCTAGCAGGACTCAAAGCAGCACATTTTGAATTCAGTTTGGAATTTAGATCTTTCAAAACTACTGTGCCGATGTGTGTAAAAATGTTAAAGGGCGGTTTTACCTTGAGATCCTGTTTCCCAGTATTACCCAGCCAAGTCTAATAAATTCTCCTTTGTCCTTGTTAACTTTTTCATTATGTAAATTTCTGGTCATAATATCACTTTTTGCCTTTTTTTCTCTCCTTTTACAGCAACACGTCCTGTTACACTTAAAATATTCACAAGAGAGGAGACTGCTAAACTCTTGTTATTGCGAACAGAAATGACTCTCTTATACTTAGCACCCCCAAGTCTTTGTACAGAGCCACACCTTATGGACATTTTAGATTTGAAAAACAAGAGGTCTGTGTAGGTAAAGAGATTTGTGTGGTGAATGTCAAGTTAACCCTGTAGTGGGTTCACGGTTTATACCCCCCTAGTGGGCTGGCGCCCCACAGTGTTGTAGTTTTTCTAAATGCGTGTGGCGGTGTGGCAGCAGGCTGACAAGGATTTTTCTGTTCAGAGTGGCTCCGAAGAAGAGGAAGATGGTGATGGTGACGACGACGACGATGAAGAGGACGAGGGCAAGGAAGACGACTCCAAGTCCGCGGCGAAGGGCCGCAAGAAAATCCGCAAGATTATCAAAGATGACAACCTGAGGTCCGAGACGCAGAACGCCCTGAAAGAGGAGGAGGAGAGGCGAAAAAGAATTGCAGAGCGAGAGCAGCTGAGGGAGAAGCTGAGAGAGGTGAGCTGGGAAGCCAGTTGTGTCTTCTGCTGGTGGAGATCTGCTACAGAGCAATAAAGAATGAAAGCTATTGCCTATACTGTTAAATATTATATTTTCATTTGGACCTTTTCCCTTTTATATACATTCTTTTTGCTAGATTACATATGTGGAAATCCCTAATAAATCTACGCAATTTATATCTTTTTAAAGAAATAGTTATTTGCATGCTGAGGGATCTGAGTTCATACGCATCTAAAAGCCTTTAAAACCTGACCTAGTAACAGAAGTTGCATTATTGGAATGTTTAAAAACCACCATTTTAGAAGCCTTTGTTGTTGAAATGTCCTGTATTGTGTGGTGTTAGACATAGTTTGTGTGTGTGCAAGGTTTTATTTCAGAACAGATTCTCGTATGCGATAATTGACCAGACCTCATAAACATGCTCTTTGCAAAACAATAAAAAAAAAGAATGGGCTCTCCGTGTACTGAAGTGCACACAATGTTTTGTGTGTTTGTTAATGTTATTAATATGTTCCAGATGTGTGTTCGTCCAGTATCCTGTTGCTGAAAACTGCTGTGCTTAATGCTTGTCAGGTCATTGTTGTTGAAGAAGCCTCCCAAGTTACCTGTCCTATAACAACCAAGCTGGTGCTGGATGAAGATGAGGAAACTAAGGAGCCCTTGGTGCAAGTCCACAGGAATCTGGTCACCAAGCTAAAGCCTCACCAGGTCGATGGTAAGCTAGGGTTTGTTTTGGAACGCGTTCAGTGCCTTCATTGCGCTTGTCCGATAACAAATTTTAACCACAGAGAAGTGTGTTATAGTCGCAGGGTACAATGAATCTTTTGCTGAGATGGTTTTGGTGCTTAAACCATTGTTTTGCATTATTATTTTAATTCAATGAACCAACTTCTCACTTCTCCACCGGATCTGCTGAGTAGTGGGGCTGCTGGCACATAATGGCTGCCATGTGTCTCTCAGTTGGGTGCCATACTTCAGAGGTGGGAGACACGTGCTGCACAAATATAAAGAATGTTTGATACAGCATTAAGGTTTTGCACCCAAAACCCAACAGACCATAGCTAGCCTTCACACGGACCATGAAATCTGGTCTATTTTGTGTATTTGTACTGTACTCTAAAATGTGGTGACGTTATATGTGGTTACAGGTTCCAGATGTGATTGTTTCAGTTTGGGGAAAAAATGCTCGCTGTACACTAGATAGGATTTGGCACTTGCTCGTCGATTTCACTGATTGGTCTTCCAGTTTTCGTAATGTACGAATCTCAACTTTTAGCACAGTTGTACGCTTGAAAACTAAACTAAAGTGTTTTACAAAAAGCAAGTTTTACACAACCTGTACGTGTTCCGTTGGCTCAAACATGCTGCACAAAATATCAGCTTGACATGGGCACCCACTGAAGCTGAAAAAGGGTTGCTCATAGTGCATTCATATAATGAATATGGAAAAAATAAAAAAAGACTGAATTGTCTTTAAAAAGAGAGTTCCCATTGCACTGCATTAGGACTTGCAGGTTGCCAGTGTTTCTACTTCCATTGGAGAAACTGTAAGAAATATTTCAACAAAACCTAAACAAGTTCACTTACCATTAAACTCCAGCAAAACTTGACTCTGTGAATGACTCAATCTTGCAATGTTTTCCCTAGTTTTGGCAAGCTTTGTAGTCCAACTATTTCTGCTTAGAAATCTTTTGATCTACTGTTGCATGATTAATGGTAACCGAAACCAGACCATAACAACCTTCTCAGTCAACTGCAGTCACCTTCTTTTGTTAATTTCAGGACATCTCTTCCTATATTCTGCTTTTTTTATAACCGTGTGCTTGTTTTGTTACATCACCAGGAAATGTTCATTAAAGCTTGACAACTGAAATTCAAGATTTTCAAAAGATTATGATTGGAAATGTACAATTATTCTGAATTTGGCAGGGTCCTACTGTTCCAGCTTAGTTCATCAATTAGCTCTAGGTTCATTGGATAATGAAGATTTGTCATTTTCCTATTAAAGTTTTTTTAAAGCATTTCAGGTAATTTGAGGTTAATTATATTCTCCTTGAAAGATGATTTAAACATTTATATGTATATTTTACAGGAGTACAGTTTATGTGGGACTGTTGCTGTGAATCTGTAAAGAAAGCAAAAAATTCCTCAGGATCAGGCTGCATCCTTGCTCATTGCATGGGTCTTGGAAAGACATTGCAAGTAAGTGTATAAAAATGGACTGCTACGTTATTCAGAAAACCCAGAGGAAATAGTTTGTTCTAGTTTGTTCATCATAACTTGATTATGTATTGTTATTGAAACACATTTATGTATACACGTTTCTATATAAAATGTAGCAGTTTATATTATATTTTAACCTTATCCTACTAACTAATGGAGATTTGAGATGATCCAAATTGAGGATTTCCTATATCCTGCTCTCGATCTTCAGAAAAATGGGTTTGTATCCTTGTGTCCTCATGCCTTAGGATTATAATGGATGTATTCATGTAACACACATTCAGGATTTTATTTTTCCATGTGACGTTTCATGTTGAACAACATCTCTGATGCACTTTCCAAAATCTCCAAGCAGAAGGGAAACAGCTTTAAGCAGACAGTTGTATTGGCTGTTGTAATGTTTCTCTTGAGAGATGCATTCTGTAAAACATAGGGGAGCTAGGGCAGCATGATGAAGCAGTAATTAGCAGTTTGAGAAAAAATATCTTCTCGAGGGCACAACATATCTCTTGTCAAGGGTTTGAACGAGTCTTTTGAAACGTCCTTCGCTATGTAGTATGTAATGGTGTGTCCCTCTGTGTGAATCTTTTGCCTATTGAGTGGCATTAGTAAATGGTTGTGTTAGAGACCACTGTTTGGGGGGAATCACTTCGGCCATGAGCATGCTTGTCAGTCTTTTTTTTTTGGCCATGCACTCTTCGTATTCCACAACATGGTTGTGTTTCAAAGTGATGAAACAAGTTGCTCGTCTTACGTTTGGGCACAGAAACCTGTTTTTAATCAGAGTTTACATCTAACTTCTCTTTGTTCGGTGTCCTGTTTGCTGAAGCCAAAATATGACCAAACGATCGACACTGCATCTTTTTTAGATACCAGCTCGTCTTCATTTGTACTTGAGTCATCCCTGCCTGACTGGGGTTCAGCATAAACGCTCATGTTGTCTCACGCCTGGCATGCTTCTTTGTGTTTTGAATGAAGAAAGAAGGTTGGACAAGGCAGAAGCATGTGACTGGATATGACAATTGGGTGTTGTAGTTTTTTAAGGGGACCGCTCATGAAAGCACACATTGGGGAAAGCTTTTACCGAACATACGGACATAAGCAAAATGAGGTCGCTGAGAGATTGTTAATGTCGCTATCGATACATTTTCTATAAATCGCCCAGCCCCATAATGCACTATAACAGTTTACAAATCTGTAAAACTGTAAAAAATCTGGAGAACACTTTACAGTGATTGAATTGTACTCTAATTTAAAGTTGTGCACTGTTCTGGAAGCACCTGTTTGCAACTGTAAATGTGGGTTTTGCTGTGTAAGCATGCTGTCCCTGGTCTTGGGGGAGTGTCAGTGTGAGAGGATAGTGAGGTGACCTTTGTGTGTGCTGTGTTCCAGGTGGTGACATACCTGCACACCATGCTGCTCTGTGAAAAGCTGGACTTCAGCACCGCCCTGGTGGTGTGTCCCCTCAACACTGTCCTCAACTGGCTGAACGAATTTGCTAAATGGCAGGAGGGCTTGAAGGATGAAGAAAGTTTAGAGGTATTGCAAAAACAAAAACAACTAGAAAAAAGTCAATGTTCTTTTCCTGGGTGTCTAACAAGTGGAGGTTCTTCTCATTCTGGTGGCTTTTGTAAACTTGTAACAGGGTCTTATGAAATCCTATAACATTGTAACTTAACTAAAATAAGTATAATAGTCTTTTTAAGAGCTTATAAATCTATTTCTACAATCTCAATATAGGCCTTCATGAATGCTGGCAGGATTTGACCCATTTCACATTTACAGGTTATAGTCCATTACAGTTCCTAAAACAGGGTTCTGTATGAAGTATTTTAACTTATTTTAAGTGATTTATATTGATATTTAAAATAATGTAAATTTTATTACCTATGTCTGCTATCATTGTTTACAAGAACCTCCAAGACACAAATCTGAATTTAATTCCTTTATTTCCATGTATAAGTGGACATAATTCCTTTTTTGTGTAATAAACAGGTGACACAGAAGTGATCGTAAAAGTAAGGAAACGCAAAAGAGGTTTTTAATGGCAAGAATTCATAGTGATTCAAAACCTTTTCCTTTTTATTGCTGGTTATGTGAAAATCAGTTTCTGATGTCAGAACCATAATGTTTTTGTTAGCTTTGCATCATATAAAAAATCTGTAACATGTTGCAGAGCTTTCATAGGAAGGCTACAATTGAGTGGAGGCCTTTTGGCACACCTAGCTCTTTAAGAAGTTAGTAGTTATTTGAGCCAAAGATCACATCCATCTATTTCTTGAATGAAACCAGGATATCAGTTTTGACAATGTGGCTGGGTACCTTGTTTCACAATCCCTTATATTTTCTTACAGAATAGTTTTTTTTTATCATCACTACATACTCTAAACCTGTAAATTCACACTTTCAGGTTCTGAAATGAGAAGAGGAAGGTGACAAAAGTACACTAGTGTCACAGAAAAAACAGAAAGAAGCCCAAAACGATGACAATTGCATTACATGTTGGCCTGCTATTGTCAACTTTTGCTTGAAATATCTTGTTCTGAGCCGTGTGGTTTAGAAAATGAAGCTCCAGCTTTCTGCCATCTTGATTCTTTCCATGGCTTCTTTTTTAAAAACTCAAATTTAAGACCGATCTCCATGGCGGTGACATTCTAGAGTTCCCGTTTTGGCCGCCATGATGGATCTGCGTTGTGAAAGCTGTGCTGTGTTGCAGGTGAACGAGCTGGCTACAGTGAAGAGGCCGCAGGAGAGGGCTTACATGCTGCAGCGCTGGCAGGAGGATGGCGGGGTCATGATAATGGGCTATGAAATGTATCGCAACCTCACTCAGGGCAGGAACATTAAAAGCAAGAAGCTCAAAGAAAGTTTCCACAAGACTCTGGTTGACCCAGGTACATTTCACAGAGTACCCCTGAAGTTTGGGATTCCTCTGAGACAAGGGCTTGTAGAGGCGTTATAAAGCAATGCAGTTTTTCTTGGTATTTAAATCGCACGTGAAAGGACTGCGACAATCGTGATTGACTTGTCTTCAAACCAGTATATTAAAATGGTATAGCTAATTTTCTCTTTACCTTATTTTTTATTAGAACTATTTAAGTTGCTCAGTTGAACAAGTACAGATTTAACTGTTTTTGTTTTCATAGAAAAAGTCGAAATTCTGTGTGAGTTTTAAAAGCTGCTTAATTGCTAGAATTTGTAATTGAATTAAATCTTTTGCATGCCTCATTTGAATTATTATAATATTTTTTTGCTATCTGTGCTATCTTTTTTGTACAGAGTAAAAAGTTCAGTTGTACTTCTGCTGCTTTGAGAAATTTGTAACCTTGAAATTTGTAAAATAAGAGACTGAAAACTAAGATGGTTTTATTTTGACCAAAGTAAATAACTTATTTACCTGAACTCTTGAGGTCCTTAGTTCTATCTTCACAAGCAAAAATATGTATTTGAATCTTTTTTAAATCAAATTGCCATGGTTAATCAGCTTTCTCAAATGAAATATCAAAGCTGTTTGAAATTGATCAGAACAATTTGTTAAATTTGTTTGTTTAATTTGTTCAATGAATGTACCCTAGCCATAAGTAATCTCCAGGATCATTTTCAGTGGCAGACGTTGTAGAATAATATTACATGTAATGTAATATTATTACATGTACATGTACAGCTGACATTAGCACAGTTTCTCTCTTAAGTCTTATTTATACCAGTTGGGTTTCTGAATTTTTAAGAAGAATCCCATACATCTTTCTTGTCTCACTTGCATTAAATTAGCTAAAAGTGGAGATTTTATTAACTGGATTTTTTACTTCTTTTTTCTCTCTTTTAGGTCCAGACTTTGTAATTTGTGATGAGGGACATATCTTAAAAAATGAGTCCTCTGCAATATCAAAGGCCATGAATTCCATTAAAACGAGGCGGCGAGTTGTTTTGACAGGAACTCCACTGCAGAACAATCTGATTGAGTGTATGTACAGATGAAAATCACCTTGTTTTCTTTTCCAAAATAGCCACACAGACAGAAGTAAAATGATAAAAATCCCATTAAACTAACCCGGCAAATTCAAGAGTAAAACTAAATTAGCTATTGTGAATAAATAAGTGTTGAAGAGGGTTTTGAAAGTATTTGGGATTCAGAGTTTGAAATGGATTTGGGTAGAGAGCTCCACAGACATTGTGCTGCACAACAGAAGACTCTTTTGCCCATTGTTTGAAATTTGGTCTTCAGTGGCATAAGATGGCATGAATAAGATAACAGAGGTTAAACTTTGCACTGTAGTTGTACAGAACTAGAGCATTCAGTATCATACTGTATATGCAAATAGAACATTGTTATAGTCCATTTTAAATTTCACAAGGAGCAAGTGCAATTTAAGGAGGACAAGAGTTACATGCTGATGCACAGTATTTTTAAGTAACATGACGTGCAGAATTCAGTCATCTCTGGTGCCTGTTTTTTTATCTTGATCGCCTATTGAATAAGGCGTTAAATTAGTCTTTTTCAATTTGTTTACTTGATGTAACTAACTGGCCTCGAAAGTAAGGAAAAAGAGTTGACGTTCTCGGGTTCAGCCCAGTTACAATTATAAAGTCAAAATCTTGTTGTTTTTTTAATACACAGAAAATGTATTTACTCATTTCCTCATCTTTCAGACCATTGCATGGTAAACTTCATCAAAGAGAACCTTCTGGGATCAGTGAAGGAGTTCAGGAACCGCTTCATCAACCCCATCCAGAATGGCCAGTGTGCCGACTCCACGCTCAGTGATGTCAGGGTGATGAAGAAGCGAGCCCACATCCTGTATGAAATGCTGGCCGGTTGTGTTCAGGTGAGCGTGTGGGCCCTGTTTGCACTTTAGAACGGTTTGTCAGACCCTTCGGTTCCTTTTATAGATGGGAGGATTTCAAGTCTTTTGTTTTCCGTCAGCAAGCCCATAATGCAGACAGCAGATATTAGCCGCTGGTTGAAGTACTTGACGCAGCCCTCATGAGAGCGCTGTGAACATACAGGCACCTGGCCAGCTCCAGAAGTCACTGTTGCATAGCAGGCCAAGGAAACCGTGGCCGGCTCTTGAGGCTGCCAACTCTGGCGGTTCTTGGCCAGTTACAGGCTGCCCCGCGAGGAGTCATAGCTGGCGGAGAGCATAGCACAGATTAGAATCAGCAGTCTCTGCACAGAAAGGCTTGACCTGTGCTCAGAGCAGAGGCCTAAACCATTTACAGCTTTAATTTGTGTTTTGTTATGCCTTCCTTTGGTTTCCCAGTTTTTTTTTCCCTTTCTGAGGTTAGCTTTAAAAGACTTAGAAATCTGGAGATGTCTGCCTCAAGTGCGTTGCTCTGACATATGCTTGTCACATCATGACTGTAGTTCTCAAGCATCACATTCTCCGAGATGGTACGTTGTTGCATTGTTAGTGCCAGAGTGAAAAGAAGGCCTGTGAGCAGATAGCCTACCTTGCACCAGTTAAAAAGCCCAAGTTCGCCCAAGAATCCATTTTATTTTGCTAGAGTTGTAAGTGAGGATTGAATAATGGTTTTGTTTTATCTTTCATAAGCCAGGAAAATGGAAAATGAGTGCTGATCTGCACTCTGAAGCTCGCTTAATTCTGTCCTGTCACCCTATTTACTTTTTCATTATTTAAGCTGTAATACATTATCTCAGAATATACATAGAATACAATTAGTGAGCATTCTTTTAATCTGTGTGTCATTCAGTGTCCTGTTTTTACCAATATATTAAATATTACTATATTAAATATTAATATATAAAATTTTACAAATATTATATATTACGGTTTTACACTATTTGACTTTGCCTGTATTGTGTTTTTCCACAGTAAGCATTTAAAAGAAGAAGGAATCCTGTTTTTGGTAAAACGACATTTTCAATAAAGATGACATTTTCATTTACAGAGACGGGACTACACAGCTTTGACAAAATTCTTGCCTCCGAAGCACGAGTACGTTCTGGCAGTGAGAATGACTCCAATTCAGTGCAAGTTGTATCGGTACTACCTGGAGCATTTCACAGGTAAGGACAGAATCAGCAGTGCTTGAAGGAGGAAAAAAAAAAGGTTGTTGGCACCTTTCCCCAGTTGTTTCCATCAGAAACTTTAGTTGGTAAAATATTGGTTGGAAGGAAGCCTATTTGTTAGCTTATTTTGCCTGGTAAAAATAATGCAATTGAGTTGTTGTAGAAATTTGCCCACTTCTTCATTGATTTTTTCTTTTGAATTGTAGGAAAAATTATCCCTGTACTCAGTAACGGCTCAGAATTGGTCAAAATAATCGCTCAGGAATTAAGCATTTTTCTGTTTCTCGTATTATCTGAACTCAAGGTACTCATTTACAGCACTAAAAAACACACCCATACTAACATGTTAAGCATTACAGTTTAGAGTCAAATGTGTTTTGAATAGAACATGATTAAAACTGTAAGTGGGTAGTTATCGGAGAATTTATTTAGTTCCTTGAACCAATAAGGAAGTGCCAATACACAAAAATGAGAAAGTCCATTTTTGTGTATTCCATTGTTCAGATAATGTATTGTAATTATTGTCCTTTTAAAACAATTTTTTACTTATATTCTGTCATGAAAAATCCAGATACATGCAGTGTTGTGTGTTTCTGCTTTATTAACAGTCATTCCGAGTAGTGATTTTTGTTTGGCTAAATCTCATTTTGAACTTAAGCCCTTTTAATTTGTAGTAATTTACATTTTTTGGGAGGAAATGTGCCTTACGAAAGGGCTGAATGGTTAGTTTAAACAGGTGCCAGAGGACTTATCTTTCGTTTTAGAAAGTTAGAGTGCCAGTTTTGACATTTTTAAGTAGAGCTGTAGTCTATGATTGTAAGGAAATAAGATTTCTGTTGTAACGGTGAGTGGCATTTGGCAAAGTTCTATAGGTTAACTGAACAAGTTCCCATGTCCTTTAAAATCAAATGCTTTAGGGATTGTTAACGTTAGTAATTTAAGCTGTCCAAGAAGTTTTCACTTCAGGAGACTAGAAAATTGCCCATGATTGCATCATGACTTATTCTTCAAAACCTGTGTAGCTCTAACTTGGCAGCAGGCTCGGTATTCTGCACCTGTAGCTGTAAAGAAATTTCAAATGATTGTAATCGAAGGAACTTTTTTGACTTTCATAGTGTGAATATTTATATGCAGATACTTGTGGTTTTCAGACTACTTTTGCTGAAATTCCTCCAGTGTACGAGGTGCTTACTAAAAACAGTCTAGATCTGCATCACTTGAGGACAGGAACCAAAGAGCACTAGTGATCAAATAAATACTACTTATTTCTAAATGCAGTTTTTTACTGCGCTTTCCAAAAACGTTTTCCCATTGACTGTCAAGATAGAATGGTAGGCAAATTTTTAGCATCTTTTGAAAATGCTGTGTTGTCAGTAACTTCCCAATCTCAATGTTGTGACCACACAAAGAATGGTAGGATGGTTTGATTTGAGATAATTGAATAAGTTTTGAGTTTCAAAAAGTAATTTTAGTTCAATGCACTTTTCATCCAATTTCCTCAGAAGTATTTTTCAATAGTTTGAGCAATATAAAGAAATAATTATTTTTTATTATTCTATTTGGGAGACTATCTGAATAAGACAATAAAGGATTTGTGTACTTGTAGTAAGAAATAAGTGAAACAATTGGAATTGATGTTTCACTAATCTTACAGAACACAAGGTGCGCATGCTTAGTTAAAAAATGTTTACATTTTTACTAGCATACAACACATACATTACTTTGGCCTGTATCATAGATAATGCTTCTTGTACTTTTACAAGTAATGATAAGACCTGGAAAGCTTTTACTGAGGAGTGGAGGTTTTACCAGTATGCAGGTACAGCAGACCTGAATTTAGCAGCACTTCAAGGTGACCACATTTTTAGTCTATTAACAATTAGGGTTTGTTTTTTAAATTGACCACCTCTACACCTTGTCTACATCACATCCAGTCTGTGTCCATTCCATATATGGGTGTGGATTGTGCTTTCCTCCATGTTGTGCCTTAGGCAGTTTTTCTTGGGCTCAATCATTTGATTGCTACTGCATCCTTCAGTTGTACTTCATACTAAACCATTGGTGGTACCACTTACACAGCTAAACAACTCAGCCACCAGCACTGTAAGGCATCACAAGCTGGTACCACTGTACATGTCTACAGTTCTTACCCACCGGCACTGCAGGCTTCACTCACTGTGTTGTGACCTAGATAGCTTCCATACTTTTTACACTTGTAAACCCATTGCATTCAAATTAAATAGGCTTATTACCGTACCTTTGCATTTTTTTATTTAAAAGTTAATATGGTTTAAACCTCTAGCTACCGTCAGTCTTTTATAGAAAACGAGGTATTCTTGCAGGTCTGCTTCAAAATGCTACAGATACTAGTACTTCTACCTCTACTTTTAATAGTAAGGTTAAGAACAAGGTTTTAAAATAATACATTAACATGTCCCAGGCCTTTTTGATCTGGTCAAATCTTGAGAAGTATATGCAACAATGTACATTATTTCAAAATAATAAGGTACTATTACTTTATTACATTTCTGTGTCATGGCAAGTGTAGCAGAGTACAGATGCTGCCCGACTTACATACTGTATGTGTAATAGAACCACAGAAACTTAAGTCAAAAATTACAGTTGGAAAAAGCCTTTGTATGCTCCATTTGTACTTAAAATATTTATCATTGGACTATTATGATAATTGAAAATTATACCTTTCAGATCACTAGATTGTTTTTTAACCACGATTCAAGGGTTACACTGCAAACACATGGCAGACATGACTTCAGACAGTGCACAGGTAGTGAAAATACTCACACTAGGCAGTGAGGAACAGGACACAGGAAGCTGACTGCAAAATGCATGACGGCTGCCTCGTTCTTCCACACAATAAATAGTTCTTATGCTGTGCACTATTTTGAATGTTCTTTGTGTAAGTCTGAGAGAGTCTGTACTCTGTTTCTAGAGGTAAATGAGAATCTGTTCTGGAAAGAGTTATTGCTCTTGCATTAAGGACTTCACACTTTCTTTACTCAAAAAATGAAAAGCTTGGTGTGATCTGTGGCTGCTAAATAGGGCGTACTAAAGTGAATCTCTGGACAGGTGTGGGCAGCAGTTTAGAGGGAGGAAGAGGCAGAGCTGGGACCAAACTGTTCCAGGATTTCCAGGTGCTCAGCAGAATCTGGACGCATCCATGGTGTCTTCAGCTGGACTACATCAGTAAAGAAAACAAGGTAAATTGTACCTTGTCTTTCAAGGCATCCATCCATTTTCTAATTGCTTTATCCAGTATAGGGTTATGGGTGAGCTGCAGCCTATCCCGGGAAGCAATGGACTCAAGTTAGGATACAGCCTGGAGCATCCCATCACAGGGCGCAAACACACTCACACCAATTTCACAGGAGCCAGCTAACCCACCAGCATGTCTTTGAACTGTGGAAGGAAACTGGAGCACCCTCCAAGAATACCTCACCAACATAATAATTCCACAGATAGCACCCGGGTCCAGAATTGAACCTGAGGCTTCAGTGCTAAAAAGCAGCAGCCACTGCATCACCATGCTGCAACAATCAAGCCACTGTTAACAGATTCTGAAAATAAATGTTAAAACATGCTGAAAACACACTTTTTAAAAAACAAAATATAGACAGACAATCATGAAACTTCTTTGAAGAAAGCAAAGGTATGGAAATTGTTAATCAAACGTGCTGCTTTAGTACAACAGGGAAGAAAAGAACATAATTCAAATTCCTGACTGCTTTGACACTTTGAACATTATACAAAATTGTGTTCATACTGTAGTGTTCACATGCACTTTTAAGAACTCCACTTCACATGAATTCTCAGATCACCTTGTAGGAGGAGTGCTTTTTAAATGTATGATAATGTGGATAATATAATAAACCTGAATTACATTAATTTTGTGTTATTACCTACTAACATGACATAATTGTGCCCCAAAATATTGTTAGGAATTGAAGTTCTGAAAACAGAGAAATACCATAAAATGACTGAGCAGGTTGATTAGTAATTAAAATAAATAATCATAACCCCCGAATTGTAAAGATATTCCAGGAATATTCCGGAGTGATTGGTTTAATTAGAGGCACCTGAGTCTCTTCAGGCATACTGGGTTAAACAAATATTAATATTGACAATGAAACAAGACAACATGCAACATAAACATACAGGTTATGCCATGTACAAACTTACAAACAAGGTGCCTTGAAGGTCTTTCTTGATTAACCAAGACAGCTGCCAAGTCTTCAAAACCAATGTAATGCCTATGACAACCAACAGAAGAGATAAAGCTTGCTTCTAAATTAAACAGAATATAACCTGTATTTAAATCCCTCTCTATATAAATTGGGATACTATTAACTTAAAGAGAATCTCCCTATTCTAAAAAAGCGTTCACTAACCTAGAGAGTCTGTTTTTAACAAAGGGATTCTCTGTACAGGAAAACTGAGTTTTTTTTTTTTAATAACAGAATGGCAACTTTTCTTAAGGTTTAAAAGTTTAACTTGAATCTGGTCTTAAAGGCTGATCAGAGAGAGGTGCTCCCACATTCTGTCTTCCTTCTATTTCTCCTCCCTCACTTGCCTCTCCTCTTAAGTCTTCTTCTCTCCCTTCCCTGTCTGCCTACCCTTTTATGCTATGTTTCTGGACTGTCGATGACACTTAATCATTTACCCAGAACTTAATTAACCAAGGTAAAACAGAAGATCCTTTGATCAGTGTCTCACAGACCTAATACAACTCAATAAACACTCCAGTTCCTTTCTTGATTTGAAGCTAAATGTTGACACTAGTCAGGCATTAATTAATGTCTCTAGATTTTTAAGACACTTTTATAGACATTTCCAATAACAATATATTTTTTTACATATTTACATCTGTTGTTGTGATCATTATACTACAATCTGAGCAAGATATACAGTGCCTTGCGAAAGTATTCGGCCCCCTTGAACTTTTCAACCTTTTGCCACATTTCAGGCTTCAAACATAAAGATATACATTTTTTATTTTATGTGAAGAATCACCAACAAGTGGGACACAATTGTGAAGTGGAACGAAATCTATTGGATTTTTGAAACTTTTTTAACT